TAAAAATAAAAAATGCATTTGGCTTTGAATATATGATTCTGCATATATTGCTGCATCATACATTTGGTTTATTTTATTTTGACATTTATCGTTCCATCTTTTCCACCAAAGAGATCAAAGCGACAGACATGGTTCCCTCCTCCCTTTTTATCTTCACAACAACCTGTGAGGTAGGTTAGGCTGAGAGACAATTAAGTGGCCAAAGGAGCTCTGAACCCTGGTCTCTCAGGTCTTAGTCCAACACTCTGACCACTGCACCACACTGGCTCTCAATATACCATACTTATCTTTTCTCATTTGAATGGAGTATTAGGAAGACAAAAGGAGTTCTGAGGTAGGTAAACACGTGAGGGCTCTGCATTGGGCCCAGGGGTGCGGAGCCTCTAGCACCATGGGCCAAATTTGAACCACCAGGCCTCATCACCTGGCTCATAAGGCCATTTCAGTAAAGCCATCCCCATCTGCCTACACCTGACATCACCTATGAGGTCAGGTGTGGAGCAGGTGAGGGCAAGACTTGGCCAAAAGGAGCTTTGCTGGTACCGGCAGCTGGCAGTGCCTGCAAAGGCCTTGTACAGTGCTTCCCAAATGCCTGAGAAATCAGCTGCTTTGGGGGTGTTTGAGAAGCACTGTGCACAGAGCTAAACAATCCTTTTAAACTATACCCTCCCCCTGCTGCCCTACTTGCAGGCCAGCACCTTTGTCAAGCACCTGACATGTGCTGGATTATTGTCAGGTGGGTGGTCCTGCCTATCTGTCAAAGTTGGCCCATGAAAGTAGGGGAGTCATGTCACCAGGACGCAAAGGTTCCCCGCTCCTTTTCCTTGAGCTCCCCCTGTTTCAGGGAATTTGCTTGTTAAAACCAAGCTGACACTCCACTTCCCTCTTCCCTTGTTTCACGCTTTTCTTCACTGGACTGGAATGAAGAAATCCTGTGCAAAATAAGGCAGGTAAGTCCATTGCTGCAATCTCATTTTTACATGTATTCTATATGGGAGCACAGATTTACAGTTCTGGGGCCAGTTCTATGCTGCCCAAAGTGCATTTACCTGAAGAGAAGATGAAGCAGACTTTTCCTCTGTTGTTACAGAGGGCAGGGTTATCACCAACTGGTAGAAACGGCAAGGGAGAAGGCTAAACATAAGGAAAAAACATCTTAATGGTAAAAGCTGCTTGGCAATTAGCCGATTTGCACTTCACTTTAAATCGTAGTTAAACTTAACTATGGTTTTAATGTGAGTTTGCTGTGTGCTGTTGCATAAGGAGACGATTGCAGCTGCTTGTTCCTTCTCCACTACTGTGAGCTAAGCCATGGATTGACTTAATGTTACATTTGAGCCCAGGGATTGTGGTTTCTCCCCGCACCCCAACTGCAAGCGGTCAGCTATGAGGAAATCTTGGTTGCAGCTCATTGTTAGTTTGGAGAGAAACAAACCAGGGTTTTGGGTTCAGACTATTACATACTGTGGCTTAGCTCCCTGTAAGTGTGGCAGGAATGGCTAGAATTTCCTCCCTGTGCCCCAGTTCACCTTTAAACTTTAGTTAAGCTTAACTGGGGTTTAAAGTGATAGGCAAATTGGGCCCTTGGCACAGACTGCCTCAGAAAGTAGTGAGCTCTCCTTTGCTGGAGAGAAGAGGCTGGATAGTCATCTGCCAGGGATGTTGTCATTGCGTCCTGTGCTGCGGAACCATCATACCACAGAGGGTTGGACTAGATGACCACCAGGGTACCTTTCGTTTTTTTGGTATAATTTGGTTAAAAGATAAAGGAAGAATTCCCTAGATGCCTAGGTCCAGGTTTGGTGCAAATGCTCTCTTGGTGACAGCGCCCCAGCAGAGATTTAAAATCACAAAACATGCTGGAAAGTAAAGGGTGGAAATACTTTCAGATCTTTAAAATATCCCATTTTAAGTTTCTTCCAAAGCTTCCCTTAGCATAGAAAAAGAGACCACGTGTTTGGTAAGTTACAAATGGTTTACTTACAAACTTTCTCAAAGTCATGTGCTTTTTCATACGGCAGCAAGAAAAGACAGGGAGTTTAACTTTGTTTCAAAAGGTAAAGAGTTTCTAAATTGTTTGTAGAGAAACACAAAGTTGGCTTGCTAAAGCCATGTGGTCTCAGCTCGGAGCGTTAGTTCAGACATCCATTCTGGCTGGATTCACATGGTGGAAGAGAATGAACAAAGGTTTGGGTAACCCTCCCAACTGGGACGCGGGTGGCGCTGTGGGTTAAACCACAGAGCCTGAGACTTGCTGATCAGAAGGTCGGCAGTTCGAATCCCCGTGACGGGGTGAGCTCCCGTTGCTCGGTCCCTGCTCCTGCCAACCTAGCAGTTCGAAAGCACGCCAAAGTGCAAGTAGATAAATAGGTACAGCTCCGGCGGGAAGGTAAACGGCGTTTCCGTGCGCTGCTCTGGTTCGCCAGAAGCGGCTTAGTCATGCTGGCCACATGACCCGGAAGCTGTATGCCGGCTCCCTCGGCCAGTAAAGCGAGATGAGCGCCACAACCCCAGAGTCGGTCACGACTAGACCTAATGGTCAGGGGTCCCTTTACCTTTATGTTTAACCCTCCCAAGGTGAGCGGATGTGACCTAGTCAAGTTTGGCAGGACTGCTTACTCTATGGCCTTGCTCCCTTAATGCATTAACTAGAGCTAAACTAGTACTATGATTCTGTTGTCTTCATATGAGCCCCGTTCCAACCCATTTAAAATCTTGCAGCTGCACTGCAACATCCCTGCCACCTTTTATTAGTGCCACATCTGCAGGTAACAATAACTGCTTACATCCTTGTCTAAAGATCAGTTTGACTGGTTTCTAGCATTTTCACCCCATCTTGCCTATTAAAAACAAAGCAGCATAACAATAATAAAAATAGTAAAACTGCAATTAATATCCTCACATGGCAACCCCACAGAATTCAGATCAAGTGTTACTTGTTTCTGTAGCACCATTAATATATACAGTGCCTGAGGCTGCAAATCTAAACGCAGTACAGATTAAGCCCCATTGAGCAGCAAGGCATTTATTCACTGCTTAATACACTAAATGCACATTTATTTACTGCAAACGATGCAACTTCTTAATGTGTTGGGCGGTATTCAGTTAAATAATTGCACAAGTGGAACAAGCCTATGTTGTAAGAGTGCAACATATGCCCTGAGGGCCTGATAATATGAATTGCAGCAATGGAGGAGGCTGTAAAATTAGAGGAGGAGGGAAGAAAGGATGGATGCAACAAGAGGATGAGTCAAAAATGTATTTAGCAGATATATAAAGTCTCTGTTTTAAAAGCTACCTATTTTGAAAAAATAGTTCCAAATGATCTGTCCCTGCCTTTTCTTCTACTCCAATCGTTTAGGAAGAAAAGAATCAAAGCAGGCTTTGAAAAAACAACTGCATGGAGAGAGATTACAGCAAAACTGCTTTTGGCTGAGCGCAGTTTCCTCCTCTGGTTTGATCCACCCATTATCTCTGAGCTGAACTTTCCAACTGGGTCAGCACTACATGAAACAGGAGGCACAGAGCAATTGGAAAAGTGCTTGTCATATACAGCAGACAAGTAATCACACTCCTGCCCTTTGCTCTGCAGATTTAGAACTGGCGTTCTGATTTGTCCAACCTTTCCAGTGTAGTATGCCAAAGGCATGCACAGAAGAGAAACGGTTTTTAGAAAGAACAAAAACCTGGAACATGACCTGTAAACATAGGATAGGACTGTCATTTAACAAGACCTTCAGATTTATTTAAAAAACAAATACAAAATACACATACACAATTTTGCTTTGCCAGTTTATTTATTCCAGCAGCGTTGATAGGATTTGACCTCTGTTGCAAAAGCATATGAGTATTTGCAAAGCTGTTTACTGCTTTTCTCAAAAATCAAATAGACCACCACAGTACTATCTATTGATGTTTCTTAAAAAATAAGTAAACAGGCAATCAGGCTTGTGTAAATTGAGTGTTGCAACTGCAAAGCAGGCTGATTTTTGCCTGTCATCGCAGCTTCTCTAGGATGAGAAATAGCTTGGCATAACGCACTGTACCAGCAGATGTCAGCATCGGAATGTGGTGCGATTTGGGAATGTGCCTGAACATAAAAAGGGAAAACGTGTCTTGTCGAGGAAAGAGGGCGTTTGTGGAAATTTTGGATTGTGGATCGGCTGAGGAGGCTCAGGCTATTATGCTCAAGGAATGGTGCTACGTGCTCTCTTTTGCCAACACCATCAGAGTTTATCTACTCTTAAATGTGTCGTTGTAAGAGATGCATCAGCTTCAGCTGGCATGGCCTAAGGATGATGGGACATGGGTGGCGCTGTGGGTTAAACCACAGAGCCTAGGACTTGCCAGTCAGAAGGTCGGCAGTTTGAATCCCCGTGACGGGGTGAGCTCCCGTTGCTCGGTCCCTGCTCCTGCCAACCTAGCAGTTTGAAAGCACGTCAAAGTGCAAGTAGATAAATAGGTACCGCTCCGGCGGGAAGGTAAATGGCGTTTCCGTGTGCTGCCAGAAGCGGCTTAGTCATGCTGGTCACATGACCCGGAAGCTGTACGCCGGCTCCCTCGGCCAATGAAGCGAGATGAGCGCCGCAACCCCAGAGTCAACCTAATGGTCAGGGGTCCCTTTATCTTTTAAGGATGATGGGAGTTGTAGTCCAACAACATCTGCAGTGACACAGGCTCCCCACCCCTGCTTTAATGCATGTTCTCTGGGCTAGTAATACGTGACATCTGAACTGGAGCAAGGTTCCTTTATGAATAGTCTTGCTTGCTTGAGAGCCGTGTGCACCAAATAGGTCCAGAGGGTTGACAACAGATATCTTTGAGGGAAGGCCTCCTGGGGTGTTGGGAGGGGGGGAGAGAGAGTGTGTGTTTTTCTGCAGGCTTTGGGGAAGGGTGGGAATGGTGGTAGCCAGCTGGTGGCTCTTAGAATCATAGAATTGTAGCACTGGAGGGGACCATGAGGGTCATCTAGTCCAGCCCCCTGCAATGCAGGAATCTCTTGCCCCACATGGGGCTTGAACCCATGACCCTGAAATTAAGAGACTCAAGCTCTACCAACTGTGCTATGCAAAAGGTCTGGCATACTTAGAAATAAGAATCTGAATGCAGTCCAAGTTTGCAAGGTGCCATGTTCTGGTTCCTTCCATGCATATAGCAGATTCTTCTGGGATCTCCTCTGTCCCACCAGTCTAGTACGAATCCTGAGATGGGAATGGATCTTCCACAAACATTGCAGAGGTCTCCAGGCACACCTCTGCAGAGGGCAGACAGCCCCAAATGTGGGGTTTGCATGTAGAAGATCCCAGGTGTTCCAAAGCCACAAAATTCTCCTAAAACTTCTAACCCGGGCCTACATCTAACAGTCAAAAATCAGAGCCTCTAGTTTACTTCCTAATGAAGAGCCCTGAGCAAACATGAAAATGTGTGAGGAGAAATGGCTTGTCGGAGATCTGTTGCTGTTTAACACCTTTCAGTAACTCATGGCAATTTCCAGTCAGAATGCAGGCCCAGTTTATAATTATCAAGAAGAAAAAGCATGCACATCCAAGCATGCATATATTGTGGGCACTCCCATCATGCTTTTTAAAAGTCTACGCTCTTTTGTGGGTTCCTAGGCTTAGAATGGGTAGCTTACATCGAGCGGCAATGGTGATGGCCGCTATACAAGCCCACTGTACTTTTCTTTCCCTCTTGAATTCAACATAGACGACTCGAGCGAGATGTGCTCATTAATATGCTGCTTTGAAAGCCTGGGGATTTAGCAGGGATGGCTATGGTTTGCTAATCGTGAAAACAGTTGCCTGAAGATGAGCAAATGTTCTCTCGAAAACCTTTCTCCAGACAGCTGGGATTTCAGCCCTACTAATTAATGGAAACAATATCCGAGAAAGTTATATAATGATTACCACCTGCTGATTGCAGCTCCGCGGTTCGGCACCTTAAACCTAATCACAATGGCTGTGATCCCAGCCACCTCAAAGCCTGCTGCTTGATGCCTGTCCAATAATCACCCGGCTCGTGCTTTCTCTGTGTGTTTTGAGGCAGTACGTGGAGAACACTCTGTGGGAGCAAATATCTAGGAAATAAGATCCTCTGAACACCATAGGACTTTGTCTATCAGGGGCACCTCTCCATATACACCTGCATCCAAGCAGCACATTGGGCAAGAAGAGGTGGAGATATGCTTGTGTTGCTACTGAAAATTGGTCCATGCTGTCCGCTTTGTAATTTGCAGATTGCATGACATGGCACCCAAGCCACAAAGTTTCCAGGAGAACTGAGTATAATAATAATAATAATAATAATAATAATAATAATAATAATAATATATTTGTACCCGCCCATCTGGCTGGGCTTCCCTAGCCACTCTGGGCGGCTTCCAACAAAGCTTAAAAAAACATTAAAATGTCACACATTAAACACTTCCCTAAACAGGGCTGCCTTCAGATGTCTTCTAAATGTCAGGTACTTGTTTATTTCTTTGACATCTGATGGGAGGCTGTTCCACAGGCAGGCGCCACTACCGAGAAGGCCCTCTGCCTGGTTCCCTGTAGCTTTGCTTCTCGCAGTGGAGACGCTCCTTCAGGTATGTTGGGCCGGGGCCGTTTAGGGCTTTAAAGGTCAGCATTTGGGTTTATGGGTTCAAATAGGGCATAACTTTATTGGTTACAGATGTGAGGAGTTTGGCTTAGGCATTGGGGTGAAGGCAAGCTATATCTTGACTCCTGCCCTTTTGCAGGGAGTTCACAGAAGGGTAAACCACCAATAGGGGGTGCCCTATGACTTACATCAAATAAGGGCACCCAATGGGTCCCTGTAGGAGCTGTGACATGGCCCTAACCCATGTCCAGGCTTCGGACGGTATTCAAACCCGGATCCCTTTTTAACAGAATACCCTTACTGAGGAGGGGCAGGCAAAGGCCACAACCTCCCCTCCAACCAAACAAACAAAGGCTCACCCAATGCCTAACCTCACAAACGTTGTGACAATTGCTACTAGGTAGGCAAAAAAACCTTTCCCAGTAGTGATGTATGGAAGTGAGAGCTGGACCATAAAGAAGGCTGAATGCCGAAGAATTGATGCTTTTGAATTATGGTGCTGGAGGAGACTCTTGAGAGTCCCATGGACTGCAAGAAGATCAAACCTATCCATTCTTAAGGAAATCAGCCCTGAGTGCTCACTGGAAGGACAGATCCTGAAGCTGAGGCTCCAATACTTTGGCCACCTCATGAGAAGAGAAGACTCCTGGAAAAGACCCTGATGTTGGGAAAGATGGAGGGCACAAGGAGAAGGGGACGACAGAGGACGAGATGGTTGGACAGTGTTCTCAAAGCTACCAGCATGAGTCTGACCAAACTGTGGGAGGCAGTGGAAGACAGGAGTGCCTGGCATGCTCTGGTCCATGGGGTCACGAAGAGTCGGACACGACTAAACGACTAAACAACAACAAAAACAACAACAACAGGCAAAAACCAAATGGCAGGTGCCAATTTGCCAAGTGGAAAAATTCCTACCCAGACCCAACAATATGGCAACCGACAATTGTCCATAGCAAGGTCGCATCTGAGCAATGCATGGAAAGAGGGTGGGTGGGTTGGGTGATCTGGCGATGGGGCAAGAGAGAGGGTGCCGGCTGGCCACATTGCAGTTAAGTCGCCCGCGGCCACACCCACCCCGAAAGCTGATTGGCTGGGGCTGTTCCATAGGGGGAAACAAACCCCAGCAATGATGATGCAGGCGGCATGACACAGGGGAGAGCCGGCATCCCTCCACCCCTTTGGCTGCTAAGATGTTGTGACCCAACTGCCCAGCCGCAATGCCGCCCACCGGGAAAAGGTGAGTGGACTTGTGATAAAGAAGGAGCAGGATCTGGGTTTGTTATGTACTGAGTTGAATAGGATCCAAAATGCAGCAGTCTAATTGGTCCTAGAACAATAGAATCCAAAATGCAGCAGTCTGATTGGTCCTAGAACAATGCAGCAGAATGATTGGTCCACAGGAGCCACCCAATCCAGCTCCAGATGGAAGTGAATCCACAACCTGATTGGCCTACAGGAGAATCCCAGAATTAGCCAATCACGTGGGGCCCATTGTGTAAATAATGTATATAAAGCAGATACTTTGGGGAAACTTTCATTCCTCCTCACCACTATGAGCTGAATAAAGAGCATGAAATCCACTCTCGACTCCGAGTATATTTCAGGGTTCCAGATGAGGCTGAGAGCAGAGGAAACATCCAAAACCACTTTGGGAGCTCATCACAGCTAAAGTGAGATTTGAGGAGGTGACATTTTAGTTCGTATCCTTAACACCATTCCAGCTCTCTCCATGCTAAGATTTAATTTTAATTCGTTTACCACCCTTGGCAGGTAAACAGCAATGAATAAGTAGCTCAGTGGCAGAGCACATGTCTTCCCCTTAGAGAAGGTTCAACAGCCAGCATGTCAGGGAGAGTCTCATAGAATTGTAGAGTTGGAAGGGACCCTATGAGCCATCTAGTCCAACCCTCTGCACTGCAGGAATCTCAGCTAAAGCATCCATGATATAAGGCTTATTCTCCTTTTCTGAACCCTGGTGAACCAACACCAGCCAGTGAAGAGAGATGGGACAATAGTCTGTCTCAGTAAGGCAACTCCCTATGTCCCTATATAAAACACTGAATTAAAATATTTTAGAATAATGCAGACCAAAAATCAGCAGAGCCAAAGCATCATTTTGGAGAAATAAGGTAAAAACGAACTTTGCTCCTCCGGACCAAAACAGGTTCCAGAAGGTCCCAAGAACGCCCTCAGAGATGGAGCTCACCAGACTTTATGGCCAGGGTGTTCTTGGAATAGTATAGAAATGGGAAAGGAATCATCTAGGAAGTGGGAATCTTTTTTCAGATATGCTGAGACTGCAGGCTCTGGGCTGACCTTGCAGAGCGAGGGAAAGCAGTGAAGCAGCTAACGAGTTTGACCTGTCTCTCCTCCAGGGAATTGTAATTGGATGTGGAATCTATTCCTTCTAGGTCATTCCCACCCAGCTCAGGAGCAGGACAGTTGGATTCTGTGCCATCTGCTCGGTGGCTCGTGTCAGGTTCTCGTTTTATGAGTTCAAAGACTGACATCACAAAAGGTTGTCATTACACTTGTCACTTCCTGGCGCTCAAATCCTTACCAGAATAAGGCCAGGAGTTGCTGAGTGAGCAATGTGCCTGCTTGTAAGCCAAGCGAAGTAACATAGGAAACATGGCGAGAAGGAGAAGGAAGGATTGTGTCCGGAATGGGAGAAATGGAAGCAGAAAAAATGAGGTATTAGCCAAATATTCCCTGTGGATTAATATGCATCCCAGTATTCCTAGGAATAGGTTAAAAAAACACTGAGAGTTTTTTTCTTTTTCTTTTTAAAAAAGTTTAAGGGTACAGTGGTGCCCCACAAGACGAATGCCTCGCAAGACGGAAAACCCGCTAGACGAAAGGGTTTTCCGTTTTTGAGTTGCTTCGCAGGACGAATTTCCCTATGGGCTTGCTTCGCAAGACGAAAATGTCTTGCGAGTCTTGAGATTTTTTTTTCGCTTTCCCCCCCTTTATCTATGCCGCTAAGCCTTTAATAGCCTTTTAGCAGCTAATCCAATAAGCCGATAAGCCTTTAATAGCCGCTAAACCGCTAATAGCGCTAATCCGTTAAGCCGCTAATAGGGTTGCTTCGCAAGACGAAAAAACCGCTAGACGAAGACTCTCGCGGAACGGATTAATTTCGTCTTGCGAGGCACCACTGTACTCTCATTTTCCTACTCATATTGAAATGCTACCCCTTAATGAGGCCAAACTTAGATTCACAAAATGTTTAGGGGTATGTGTATCCCTGCGTCCCCCCAGAAAAAAAGCACTGGGGATACCACTAAATCAAATTATTCATTCTGTTCAGATCTGCTTGGATGAGAGTAGCAATTCCTCATCTAGGCTCTGATTACACTTAGACCTATTTATAAGGATTGGCAAAATCTGCCCATTTCGGTCTCTCATTTTTCTAATCTTAAAATCAGTTCGCCACATTGGTTTGCCGTTTAAAATAAGTAAGTAAAGTGGTACCTTGGTTCTCAAACGGACTAGTTGACGAACAAATTGGCTCCCGAAAGCTGAAAACCTGGAAGTAAGTGTTCTGGTTTTTGAACATTTTTTGGAAGTGAATGTCCGACTCGGCTTCTGCTTGAGTGAAGGAAGCTCCTGCAGCCAATCAGAAGCTGCGGCTTGGTTTTCGAATGGTTTCGGGAGTTGAACGAACTTCCAGAATGGATTAAGTTCGAGAACCAAGGTTCCACTGTATGTATGAACCTTGTCATATAAACTTGCTGCTGTAGTCTGAAGTGGTAAAGCTTCAGCCCAGATTTACTCCCCTCTTCCCTACATGAGCAGCATTGCAGGGGAGGAAGTAGTGGAGATGAGCACATTCATTACTGGTGTAAACACCTTTCAGAACCCTCATTTTCCTGGTTCTAACTGGCACGAGGAGCCTATATGACACTTGTGTCACATGGAAAAACAAACAAGGCCTCTAGCAGGAATAGGCTTTTGTCTTGCCCTTTGGCAAAATGTGGATTGCAAGCACTTTGGGGCAGGACCTTGTGCAGTGATGGTGCGAAACTTTTCATAGTTAGCAAATCAGTTGGTGATGGAACAGATTCAGCAAAGCACAAACTGTATTTTCTCTCTTCGTGTATAAGTTTATTTCTTAGAATCTAACACCTCATGGATGTTTTCATTAGTTAAACATGCAAGCCTGCTGCTTGATTGTTATTAGATCTGATCTGTACAGCCAGCAGGGCAGATATGTTTTTGCTGCTTCTTTTTTACTACACACAAATAAGGGGTTTTATGGGGACTAAAACGTGAGGACTCATCTCGGAGGCTGACTTCTGGACCACATTTCGTCCGTGGGGTTTCCTGTCTCTAGTGGATTCAGTTCATCAAGGCCTCCTGCTGCAACGGGTCCCTTCACTTTAATGGGTCTCAGGGCTGTTGTCTTATCTTCCCCGCTAGGTGTGATGGGTACATTGCTTTTTGCAGGGCAGGGTTATATGTGTGTTGGGGTGTGTGTGTCCCCCACAGGTTTTGTGTGGGGGTTGACTCTTTGTCATCCTTAAATATTTTGTGGTGCGGATACCCTTTTAGCCACTGCGGTTGTCAATTTAATAAGGGGTTTTAAGAGTAATCAGTAACTTCAGCTTAAGCACACATTACACTAAATGCATAGCTTGCTGCTGTTTTTTCCCTTCATTTAGTTACAAGTTCAGGGTCACCACCACCACTCCATTTCTCATTGAGACATCAGAATGGAGGGAGGGAAGATTTCACCCTCCCCTCCAATGGTGCAAAGCCAGTGGAAAACCTTCCCCCATCCTCAAGTGAAGTTATAAGGCCTCTCCTCCTCCTCCTTCTTCAATTTGTATACTGCCCTTCATCCAAAGACCACAGGTTCACAACATAAAAATACAAAATGAAAACACAAAATGCATAACGAAACAAGCACAAAAGCAATACCCCCCCACAGACACATTTAAAAGGCCATAGAATGTCAATCAGCCAAATGCCTGGTTGAAGAGAAACTATTATTTTTATTTACTAAATTATGGGGGAGCTCCCACTGGTTGTCAAATAGAGAATTGAAGTAGCTTCTAGTTTGGCCCCCCAGATGGTAGTTTTCCAATATCATTTTAAGTTACTCCCCGCTTCCCTGTTGAGCAGGCTGTCCTACTCACTGTCCTAATGGCTACTGGGATGCAGGTGGCACTGTGGTCTAAACCACTGAGCCTCTTGGGCTTGCTGTTCAGAAGGTCGGCAGTTCAAATCGCTGCTCCCGTTGCTCTGTCCCAGCTTCTGCCAACCTAGCCGTTCAAAAGCACACCAGTGCAAGTAGATAAATAGGTACCACTATGGCTGGAAGGTATACGACATTTCCATGTGCTCTGGCTTACGTCATGGTGTCCCGTTGTGCCAGAAACGGTTTAGTCCTGCTGGCCACATGACCTGGAAAGCTGCGGACAAACGCCGGCTCCCTTGGCCTGAAAGCAAGATGAGTGCTGCAACCCCATAGTTGCCTTTGACTGGACTTAACCAGGGGTCCTTTACCTTTTACCTTTTACCTAATGGCTACCAGGTTTTGTTGTTGTCCAGTGTGACTTAAGGATAAGTATGTTTATGATCCTGGAAAAAAAATCCACCCTGAGTCAGGAGTATTTCTTGAGTGAACAGAACTGTGCCAAGTGGGTGGCATTCGAGCATTACAGTGGTACCTCGGGTTAAGAACTTATTTTGTTCTGGAGGTCCATTCTTAACCTGAAACTGTTCTTAACCTGAGGTACCACTTTCGCTAATGGGGCCTCCTGCTGCCGCTGTGCTGCCACCACACAATTTCTGTTTTCATCCTGAAGCAAAGTTCTTAACCCGAGGTACTATTTCTGGGTTAGCGGAATCTGTAACCTGAAGCGTATATAACCTGAAGCGTCTGTAACCCAAGGTACCACTGTATTGTAACTTTGGTGGTGGGTTGGCTGAGGGTGAGCACCAGCAACTCTACATTTTTTATTGAAAACCAGAAATGTTCCCATTCTTAAAAACAAGCTTTCATTCATTAACTAGAGGTTGTCATCTCATGAGTTAAAAAAGCCAATTTCATGCAACCAATTTCACATTAGGCAAATAAGTGTTCCAGGCAGGCAGCGCACCCATTGGCCCCATCTTGGCTACAGCCCATCTTGCAAGGCACCCAGTCAATTTAAATGGACAGGGATTGCACAAAAGGGAGCATTTGGCCAATTGCACAAAGTGTCTCTCTCTCTCACACACACACACGGCTCATTTTCTTTTCAGCATCAAGGTGGAGGCGGAGGACAGAGGCAGCCCTGGCACGGCTAGAGATTGAAAGGCTCTAGGGGAAAACTAACAGCACGGAACAGAGATGCATGCAAATTTTGGGAAAGTGATTACATCACCTGGTGCTCACGCTACTATGTAGCCCAGAGGAATTAAACTTACCAGTCAGAACTCGCAGAAAACGATGATTTTATGGGCCTAACGATCTGTGCTGGTAGTTTTAAGGGAAAGAGAAACGGATCAGCCACCCTCATAAAATAGTTGCAAAGTGGAAAAATGAATCAGTGAAGATATAACCCAGTATTAAAAATAGTAAACGAAGAAAGGAGAAATGCGGAGAAGGTGTTGAGATATAGCAATTAAACCTGTCTGCCTCCAGATTCCTGAATGTGTTTTGCACTCCGGATAACTAGCCTTGGGGGAATCAGACTCCAGTCTCTTCGACAAGGTGATTCTTTTTCCCAGGCATGCTGCAACAAATTGTTCAACTCCTGAAGCTGGTCCATGGAGCTCCCATTATAATTTTCTGAAGTCTCAACACGGGATATTCTAAATGTGCAATAACATAATGCAATTCAATAGCGAACATGACTTTCAAATAAGAAGATGGCAGTTGTCAAATGTAAAAATGCAAAGAGTACCTATAAGAGCCTTCATAAGAGAGAATGAGAAGATGTGTGGGCTATTTAAAACTCCCTAACCAATCAGGAGATGATTGGTGCTGTCCATTGAACACTGCAGTCCACCTCTTGGGGACCGCATATGCTCGGATGCCTAGGTGCATATCTCTGCATTAAGGCGATTGAAGCCTATAACTAGTTCCACCTCAGCATCTCGTTTTCCCATTCTTTAGAGCAACCTCCTGCAACCCAACACCTTCCAGATATTTTGGATTACAAGTCTTATAATCTCTGATCATTTACCACACTAGCTGTAGTTGATGGGGGTTGTAGTCTAGAACATCTGTGGCTCAGGACCGCAACACCTCAAGGACCACCTCTTTCCATATGAATCTACCTGGACCCTGAGATAATCTTCTGAGCCCTCCTTCGTGTGCCCCCTCCTCAAGAGGTTTGGAGTGTGGCAACACGAGAACAGGCCTTCTCCGCAGTGGCTCCCCGTCTGTGGAATGCTCTCCCCAGGGAAATTCACCTGGCACCTTCATTATACACTTTTAGGTGCCAGGCAAAAAAGTTCCTTTTTAACCAGGCCTTTGGTCGATCTGATTTACATCCTATGCCCTTTTAAAATGGTGTGTGTGTGCTGGGGCTATTGGGTTATTGTTTTTATTTTGATTATGTATTTTGTGGTTTTATATCTTGATTTTATTCTGTGAACTGCCCTGAGACCTCTTGGTATAGGGCCATATATAAATTCAATAAATCATCATCAGCAGCATCAGCTGGAGTGCACAAAGTTGGGGTAGGCTGCACTTCTCCACACACAGTTGGCTTAGACTGGTACAGTGGTACCTCGGTTCCCGAACACCTCCGTTGTCGTATGTTTTGGTTCTCGAACGCCCCAAACTGAGAAGTAAATGCTTCCGTTTTTGAACTTTTTTGGAACCCGAGCGTGGCTTCCACTGAGTGCAAGAAGCTCTTGCAACCAATGGGAAGCCATGCCCCGGTTTTTGAACGTTTCAGAAGCTGAACGGGCTTCCAGAATGGATTCTGTTCGAGAACCGAGGTACCACTGTACATAGATGAAAAGAAGATGTGTTGTGTGTTGGGAGCTGTATTGAATATTCATTTCCCCTTGCATTGCACTTGGAAGAAAACTGAACAGCCCTGATTGTCTCTTGCATAATCGTGTTCCAGATCTATATTGCCTTCTGTGGAGTCAGCCCATTGACCCATCTAGTTGGCAGCAGCTCTCCAGGATTTAAGGCAGGGAATGAACCTGGGAATTGGGACTTCCTGCATGTAAAGTAGACGCTCTACTACTGACCTAGAACCCTTTCCCTGTGTTCTTCTGATCCATCTGCCGCTGCATGTGTGTCTTCTGCTTTTCCACTCCAGCCAATGAGTGTCACATGAGCTAGTATTTTTTATAAAGAACCTTGAGTGTGGATTCCTGTTTGAAGATTCCACCTCTCCTTGTGTAGGCTGAGGCTCCCATCACATTTTATTTAACAAAACGCATATACAGTTGTGCCTCGGATTAAGTACTTAATTTGCTCCGGAGGTCCGTTCTTAACCTGAAACTGTTCTTAACCTGAAGCACCACTTTAGCTAATGGGGCCTCCCGCTGCTGCCGCACGATTTCTGTTCTCATCCTGAAGCAAAGTTCTTAACCCGAGGTACTATTTCTGGGTTAGCGGAGTCTGTAACCTGAAGTGTATGTAACCTGAAGTGTATGTAACCTGAGGTACTACTGTAGCATCCATAAAAATGCATATATTTGTGGGGAAAAAATTGTAATATGAGAATGTTTAAAAAACTACAGTAATATGGGAATGTGGAGAACTGAACTTAAGGTTGGAAAAACAAGAAACGGAGAGAAACCAAAACTGACGGATTCTCCCATCCTTACCATGAATGTGGTCCATGACTTTCCCATGGGCCTCAATTTTCTTGTATAGTTTGCTGCTCACAAACTCAAGCACACACAAGTGCAGCTCAAAGCAACTGCATCATAGCCACAGTTCACCATCCTGCTCCCCCAAGTTCCTTTATCAACTCTAGTATTCTCCAGTAATGTAAGGGAAGAGGCAGCCATATGGAAGGGTAATATCACTGGAAAACTCCTACAGGAAGGCTCTCAATGGCTAATAGCCATGGCAATGTTGTATCTTCACTGCCAGAGGCAGCATTTCTCTGAATATCTGTTGGAAACTACAAGTGAGAAGAGTGTTGTTGCCCTCAGGTCCTGCATCCAGACTTCCCATAGGCATCTTGTTGGGGTCACCATAAGAACACACATACCTCTCAAATGTCCATTGAGACACCCCATTTTTGTGTGAGAAACAGCAGCCCAAAATGCACCCTCCCAAAAATGCTTTTTTTTCAGGACCATGCGGTGCCTCAAAACCTGCATTTTTTGGTGTGAGAGCACAGCTATGACAAAAACATGTCTTTTGGGGCCACAATCTCATGTGCACTGGAGTGCGGCCCTGGAAAACATGTGTGCCAGTTTTTCACCTTGATGGTTAGGAGGGTATGAACAGAAGCAGAACTCTTCTTATGATTTTGAAAACCGGCTAAAAATTCATTTTAATACAGACCCGGAAAGTTTACTAATGTCATTATTGAGAGACACACATAATTCTACATGGTTTTCTATATTACCCTCAAACGCAGGAAAACAGGGATTCTCTTCTTATCAGATGAGTCACAAATCTTATCTCTCATCAAGCAGAGGCTGCTAGATCATGAAATAAAAAAACTACCCCTCCCAGCCTTTTGTATGTTCATCTGCTTACTTAGGATTGTAGCCCCACCATGGAGTAATGCCTAATTACTTTTATAATTTAGATACTCCATCGCATCACAGAGCTTTTATGCTAGCTCATCTACAGATGAGGCGAATGCATTTGTTGTTTGGAAGGTTTTTTTTAAAAAAAACCCTTCCAGAACAGATTCTGTTCCTGTCATAAGAAAACAACAGTTACAATACATCACATAATTTTGGATTGCCCTCTTCTCAACACCCTTCGCAGTGACACCCTCACAGCTCAAAATATCGATTTACAAAGAGTATCCCAATATTTGTTGAGGGATGATACTCCCAAAACTACCAAGATAGTTTCGGGGTACTTAGCCGAGATCTTGAAAGCTAAATCTAAAGTTGCCTGATTTATTCAATAGTTGGCTAACCAGTCTTTTATATATTGTATGTGCTTGGATTATTAATGTATTTGGATGGCTTTGCATGATTTTATGATTTTACTCTTTTAACTTATGCCAATAAAGGCTAGTAGCAGCAGAGTTAATACTGTTCTGGCACAGTAATTCAATCCACATGACAAGCCCCGATTCCCTTGAAGAGCAATTTATTTGGTTGCATCAGATTATATTTGTTTACAGAACACAGTGCTGTGCGCTGTAATAAGCATGGTGGCAATATGATATATTCACCAGAATATAGAAAATACCACTTTTGACTATAATAAAGTGTGCAGATAAGCATGACTATCCTTCATTGACTCTCTCCATTCCTCAAGGCAATGAGTTTTCCAATTCTAATATATTTACTTCCAGACAGCCTCCTAGCATCCATTGTATGGCTTTGTGCTAGGAGAAACAATATCATCTGGAAGAAAAGCTCTGGAATAGCATTGCCTCTATTAGCTTCATGAGACGCGGAATACTATCCTAAAGAAATTCCATTCCATTCCTACAGCCATTCCAAAGGTGGTTGTAGCCTGTATATGTAACAAAATTGTTTAAAACAAAACAAAACAATAACAGTCCAACATTTTCCTGATGAAACTAGGGACATCCTAAGAATATTCACAATAATAATAGTTTTATTATTTATACTCGCACCTATCTGAGTTGCCCAAGCCACTCTGGGTGGCTTCCAACATATATAAGAAAATAATAATAATAATAATAATAATAATAATAATAATAATTTCTTTATACCCCACCCATCTGGCTGGGTTGCCCCAGCCACTCTGGGTGGCTTCCAACAAAATATTTAAAATATATTAAAATGTCAGTCATTAAAAACTTCCCTAAACAGGGCTGCCTTCAGATGTCTTCTAAATGTCAGATAGTTGTGTATTTCTTTGACATCGGATGGGAGGGCATTCCACAGGGCGGGCGCCACTACTGAGAAGGCCCTTTGTCTGGTTCCCTGTAACTTCACTTCTCGCAGTGAGGGAACTGCCAGAAGGCCCTCGGCACTGGACCTCAGTGTCCGGGTTGAACGATGGGGGTGGATTCAGGTAGGTAGCCATGTTGGTCTGATGCAGTCGATACAAAATTAAAAAATTGTCCAGTAGCATCTTAGAGACCAACTAAGTTTGTTCTGGGTATAAGCTTTCGCGTGCATGCACACAAAAACTTATACTCAGAACAAACTTAGATGGGGGTGGAGAGGCTCCTTCAGGTATACTGGGCTGAGGCCGTTTAAGGCTTTCAAGGTCAGCACCAACACTTTGAATTGTGCTCGGAAACGTACTGGGAGCCAATGTAGGTCTTTCAAGACCAGTGTTATGTGGTCTCGGCGGCCTCTCCCAGTCACCAGTCTAGCTGCCACATTCTGGATTAGTTGTAGTTTTCAAGCCACTTTCAAAGGTAGCCCCACATAGAGTGCGTTGCAGTAGTCCAAGTGGGAGATAACTAGAGCATGCACCACTCTGGCGAGACAGTCTGCGGGC